ATGGTTGCTCAACACAGCAGTTCTAATGGGGCAACATTCATGTTGTTTAAATCAGAAGCTAAAGAAAAGTTTATGGGCCCTGAAGAGGATGTGAAACTGTTCGACCATGTCACTAGATTTGAGGTTTTCTTTCACAACAGGCAGATAATTAATCCTCTAGCCTCATCTTTGATTTCAATCGCTATGGATATGTGATTGAGAATCCAGTAATTTTAAGCTGCCATTTCTATAGAAATGGAAAGATGTCAAAAGTGTTGAAGAGTAAAGAAGGATAAACTACTTGAGACCATCAAGATCAGTCCCTCCCAAGTTGTGGGCAATAGGTTTCTAGATATCCACGAATGTGAACCTGAATTTGTATCCCTCAATGCAAAAACTAAGATGGGTATTGATGAATTCTTCTTTTCAAATTGCAGGTGGGTTCAAATTTCAGCACAGTAGCCTGGAAGAACTAATATAAGATAAAATTTTTTTGGAATTCATGCTTGAAGCTGAGGGAGCAAGACATTGACCCAAATACCCATAAACCCTTGAGTGTGACTGAATCATTAGATGACAAGAACTGTAGAGAAGAAGCCTCATTGCTACAAATAGCCTAAAACCAAATCCATTTCATACATAGCACCTCAATTGCCATGGAGAACGGCTTTTGGAAAAGAAAACAAAACATACAGAAAACAGAAGTTTAAGAGGTAGAGGCAATTAAGGATCTAGGCTCATTTGATGTTGTGCATCCAGTAACCACAAAACATCTGACTATTGCTGTTGCTTAGTTTTTTCTTTTTTCTTCTTCGTTGATTGTTAAGTCAGAAGTGAGTGACAAGTCATTAACCCCCAAAAGAATTCCTTTTTGTGGTCACACTTTTTCATTATGATGTCACATCTTTGATATCATCATCATCATCATCCGAACGATATCCCAACTATATGGGGTTGGCTACATGAATCCTCTTTCACCATTCTGTTTTGTTTAAAGCTATATCCATTGTTAAAATTATTGGTGCGTAAATCATTTTTTAGTACTTCTACCCGGGTCCTTTTTGGTCTACTCTTATCCCTTCTAACCCCTTCAACTTGCACCAAATTGCTTCTATTTACAAGTGTTGTTAACGGTCTCCTATGCACATGACCAAACCAAACCATCTAACTCTACTTTTCCTCATTTTATCGCCTATTAGGGATATTCCTATGTTTCTACGAATGACTTCATTTCTGGTCCTAATCCATTTCTAGTTTTTACACTCATCCATCTCAACATACACATTCATGCCACACTCATTTTTTGGACGGTTTACTTCTTGACTGCCCAACATTCATGTTCCATACAGCATAGCTGGCCTTACAACTATTTTATATAATTTTCCTTTTCATCTAAGTGGTATTCATCTATCACATAAAACTCCAGATGTACCCCTCCATTTTGCCTATCCTACTCTAATTCTATGGGAGTCATCCCCATCAATCTCTTTGGTTATGAATTATCTAACCAAGGCACCAGAAAAAATAGCATTGAGTTATCTCTTGGTACAAATATTTTATATAATTTTCCTTTTCATCTAAGTAGTATTCGTCTATCACATAAAGCTCCAAATGTACCCCTCTATTTTGCCTATCCTACTCTAATTCTATGGGAGTCATCCCCATCGATCTCTCCTTGGTTATGAATAATCTAATCAAGGCACCAGAAAAAATAGCATTGAGTTATCTCTTGGTCTCCAATCCTAAATGCACCCTGATTTGCACTCCTATTATTATTTAATTTACATATCACATATTCCATTCCAGTCCTATTTATTTTAAAACCTCTTGTTTCTAAGTCATTTGCCTATAAGCTTAATTTTGCATTTAATCTTTCATTAATTTCATCAATTAAAACAATGTCAGTAGCAAAGAATATGCACCATGGGATCCCCTCCTGAATATGCTTAGTCAATTCATCTATGATTAGTGCAAATAAATAAGGACTAATTGCTGAACCTTGGTGAAAACCCATGGTAACTATAAAATCTAATGTCTCTCCCACAGTTGTTCTAACATTAGTTGTTGCACCTCAATTAATTCTATGTACCTATTTGGAACCCCTTTGGAAAAGCCACCATATTATCCCTCTAAGAACTCTATCATGAGCTTTCTCTAGATCAATGAATACCATGTGGAGATCTCTCTTTTTCTCTTTGAACTTTTCTATCATTCATCTCAAAAGAAAAGTAACTCCCATGGTTGATCTCAAAATAACTTCCCTGCCATAAACCCAAATTGGTTGTTGTCTGATATACTTGTTTCATGTTGTACTCTTTATTCAATTATCCTCTCCCATAGTTTCATAATGTAGCTTTTGAGTTTGATCCCTTATATTTATTACAAACTTTGTATATCACCTTTGTTCTTAAATATAAGCACCATACTAATCTTTCTCCATTCATGGGGCAATCTTCTTTTCCTTCATTATCTTATTAAATAGCTTAACCATGATAAACTTACTTCTCCAATACCTTTCCACACTTCTATTGGAATCCCATCCAATCTTAACGTCTTTCCATTTTTCATCTTATTTAGTGTCTCTTTTACTTCATTGGTTCTAATTTTACGAAGGTACATGTTATTTTTAGCACTATTAGTATTACCAGTCTCTCCTTAGCGTCCTCTAAATGTTCATTTAATAATCTAGTCTTTCCGTCTTTGCTTGATTTCTCATCTTTTACCAAGACTCATTGATCTTCTTTAATGCACATAACACGGTTTAAATTTCTGCCTTTCCTTTTTATCATCTTTGCTAATTTATAAATTCCTTTTTCTCCCTTGTTGCCTAACTTACGAGAAAGCTCACCACCACCACCACCATCATCATCATCATCTAAGCCTTATCCCAACTATATGGGGCCGGTTACATGAATCCTGTTTTGGCAGTCCATTCTGTTTAATGCTGTATCCATTATTTATGATAAAGCTAATTGTATTGCCTTAAAGTTAACTTCATTTTCTTTTTAACCTCATTTCTTATGGTTTTATATTTTTCCTAGTTTTCCACATTTCTAGTCTTGCTCTTCTTTGTAACAAGCTCATTTTAATCTGATTATATTTTGAACCTCTTCATTCTATCACCATGTTTTTTAGCACTTTTTCTTTTCCCTTGAGATTCTCCTAAGACATTCTTTGGTGCTGTCTTTATGCAGTTTGCCATTTCAAGACATATTATTATCAATGTTTTAAAACGCAGAGGCATGATGCAAGGCGTTCCACTACCTAGAGGCATGAGGCATAGTTCAAAACATAAGAGGCGTAAGCCTCCTTAAGAGGGGATGAGGAGGGAGAAGGAAAAGGGGAGGAGGAAGAAAAGGAAGGAGGATCTCATTTTTCTTTATTTTTAATAAAAAATCTTTTATATTAAGAAGAATGAAGATGCATAGCACTAGTTGAAGAGGGGGTCTTTTCTTTCCTTCCCTTTCCTTTCCTTTTCTTTTCTTTCTTTTTTTCCTTTTCCTTTCCCTTTGTTCTTTTTTTTCTTTCTTTTTTCTTTTTTTTTCTCTTTTTAAATGAGGTGTACATGAGGCGTATGCCTCTATCACGCCTCATGAAAAAAGCATATGAGGCACATGCCTCTTGCACTTGAGGTGTACGCCTTATAGGTATCAACGCCTCTGGCATACGCCTCAAGGCATTTTGGGGGCGCCTCCCACGCCTTTTAAAACATTGATTATTAGTCTTTCCATCAAAATTCCATTTTCCTTCAACTATGAACCTATCTTTAAATTGAGCTAGTTTTCCTCCTTATAGGTATTTTCACCTAATTCTTGGATACTTATTTTCTGCCCTATTTCTCTTACATTTCCTAATGTACATATCTATAACCACTAATCTATGTTGTGTGGTTAAGCTTTTCCCTAGAATAACCTTGCAATCCTTACACATCATTTGTTCTATTCTCTTTGTAAGGAAAAAATTCATTTGACTTGCATTTGATGAAACCAACTTTGATATCAAATATTGATTTAGTTAAAATCCTAGCTTCCATAAATTTTCTTTCCAACCAAATAAGATAAAATAAGAACCATAGTTTTCAAGGTGCCAAGACAAGGATAGGTGACAGGGGGCACCTTGTCACCTAGTCACCTAGGCGATTGATTTTTTTAAATAAAAGCATATATCCTAGGGTAGTTCCCTAGGTTCCATAACCATATTTCCTTAATAATTATCCATAATTTTCATAAGAAAAATATGAACTTCATGTTAAAGTATAGAAAATCAACATATTCATGAGAAGAAAATGAAAATAAAAAGAAAATTCAAAAAATATAGGGGCTGAATCCTTATTTTTGTTATAGGAAAAGTGTTGATTAGACACAATTATTGGTTCAAGTTTTGAAGTCTATGTTGATTAAACCCTAACAAATAAGAAAATAATAAAAAGAAATAGTATATAAACACACAAAATGAATATTTTAGTTTAATAATGTTTGTTTCATAATTGTAATCTCAAAAAAATTAAAAATATAAAAGTATTTTATAACACAATATATAAAACTGCTTGGCAATTAGGCAAGGCGAGCCTCCAAGGGCACCTTGTCACCTTGACAACTATGATAAGAACATTTGAGATATTCAAAATTTCCCTCACTTCATGTCAAACTAAACATAATATATATATATATATATATATATATTGATCAATAACAGAAATCATTTTATTAATGAACAATAATATTACAACACGCTAGGAAGAGGTAAATAGGCTTAACTCTACCAAGAAAGAAAAAAGAAAATATGATTATAATACAGCCCAAAACATCTGTTCCCTTCCCACCCCTTGTTTCGCCACTGTATCTGCAAAAGCATCTGCAGTCCTCTTCACCCATTGACTTTGAACCTCCAACCCCCTAGGTTAGCCATTTAGCCTCCCTTCTCTCATTTGTGTATTTCCACAATCCATTGTCCTTCTGTAGCCAGCTTAAAACCAACTTTGAGTCTCCAACAATTAGTCTATGAATATTCAGCTCCTTTATCTATCTTAAACCTTCCATTAAGGCACATATCTCAGCTCTAAGAGAGTCACCATTCCCAATGGGGCCTGAAAACAATGCAATCACCTTTCCATTCTCATCTCTAAACACCCCACCAACACCCGAGGGCCCAGGATTACCTTCACTGCTGCCATCAAAGTTCATTTTTATGCACCCTAGGCCTGGTGGGGACCACAAAGGAGAGGCAACTGATGAAAACGGAACAGAATTTGCCACTTCCATCCATCTATTCAGCAGCATATCTGTAGAGACATCAGCAAACATATCCAAAGACTTTAGCCAATGCAGCACCCTAACCATTATTACCTCAATGATACCTTCTTTGTTCCTCTCCTTACCAGAAAAAGTCCTAGAGTTCCTTTCTTCCCATATAGTCCAGCAAATGGCAGCCCACACACACCTCCACATAACCCTACCCCTTTACTTAGGTCATTTAAGGAAAGAAGTGGCAAGCAAGCTTCATATATCTGGTGGAGGGGTACACTTGCAATCAAGGTTCAAAATATCGATACAAGGCGATACGCCAGTAGGGCGTATCTACTATCCCTTTTTGACGGGTCCAAAACCACCCCATTCAAGATCTAAATTAAGTCCACAACCATTCCCAATTATGACTCTCTAATGCCTCTTCTAAGACCCAAATCCCAATCATACCCAAAATTTGACTCAAAAGGGACCAAAAAATCAGACACACACTTCCCTTTGAAATGGGAGAGGAAGAATAAAGAGGGAAATTGGTCTTTCAAGGGTACATTCCCCACCCACAAGTGTTCCCAAAATTTAACCTGATTCCCAGAGAAAAGGTCATACCTGATGTGTTGCAAAAATGATGGAAGAATGGCATGTATGGATTTCCAAGGAGAGGCCCGGTTAGTCCTTGCCACAAGCCCAGAGTCCAGAGTCCCAACCATCATCTGCCTATCCATGAATACTCAAGATAACCTTGGTCCACAGCTTATCCCTATCCCCACCAAGCCTCCACAACCATTTACCCAACAAGGCTTCATTTTTCTTCCAGATATTGCCTAATCCTAAGCTACCCTCATCTATGCACTTGGAAACTAACTCCCAATTCACTCTATGATCTCTCCTTTCCTCCCCTGGCTCCCATAAGAAATCTCTAAACTTTTCTAGCACTCAAGTTATTTTTTCTAGGATTCTAAACACAAATAAGTAATACACCTGCAAGCTAGCCAATGTAGACTTAATAAGAGTGACTCTGCCACCCAAAGATAGATAATTCTTCTTCCAAGAGGCTAACCTTTTCATGAACCTATCAATTACAGGGCTCCAAAAACTATTATTCTTCGGATTATCCCCTAAAGGCATCCCCAAGAAAATCATAGGCCACTATGACATCTCACATCCCAAAATTTCAGCCCTATCCCTCATTTCTCCTTCTTCCATGTTCACCCCTACCATACAGCTCTTATCAAAATTAACCTTCAAATTTGACATTTTTTCAAATAATTGCACTACTCTCTTCAAATTTCTGACCCACCTCACATCTTCCCCTTCACAAAATAGAATTGTGTCATCAACAAACTGTAGATGTGTGATAGGCAACCTGTCTCTTGCAACCTTCCACCCCCTTACTAAGTTACTCGAATTTGCCCTCTCTATTAGTTTCCCCAACACTTCTACTATCAAAGTAAAGAGAAATAGGGAAAGAGGGTCCCCTTGTCTAATTCCCCTGGTAGCTGGAAAATGATCCACTACAAACCCATTCACTAGGATTGAGTAATGATAGGTCTCAATACATCCCAGTACCCAATTGCACCATTTTACCCCAAAGCCAAAGTAGTCCATCACTTGCATTAAGAATGACCAATCTACCATGTCATAAGCTTTCTCTAGATCTAACTTACACACAACCCCTTTCTTCTTTCTTCTCCTTAGATCCTCCACACACTCATTAGCAATTAAAATTTGATCCACAATCTGTTTATTTCCCACAAAAGCCCCTTGGTTCTATGGAATTAGATCTGGAAGCACTTCTATGATTCTTCTAGACAAGACCTTAGCAATGATTTTATACAAACTATTAACCAAACTGATAGGTTTATAGTCTCTCGGGTGACTTGCTCCAACTCTCTTTGGAACCAATGCAATAAAAGTTGAATTTACCCTCAGATTAATCACCCCCCCCCCTTTGATGAAATTCATTGAAAACTTTAAGGATGTCCTGCTTCAATATCTTCCAACAATCCTGGTAAAAGACCATAGTGAAACCATCCAGACCTGGTGCCTTAGATCTATCCATTGAGAAAATTGCCTCCCTTATTTCCTCCACCTCAAATTTTCTTTCAAGCCACTCCTTTGCTTCCTCAAAAAGTTTTGGCCAATCTAGACCTTCCAACCAAATCCTCTGGTTTAGGGGCCTTCTATATATAGATTTAAAATGCTCTACAAAAGCTCTAGCAATCTCACCTTGCTGAGTAATGGGCACCCCATCAACCTCCAACTTTGTAATCAAAATTTTCCTTTTCCTCCCGTTGGACATTGCATGAAATAATTTGGTATTTCTATCTCCCTCCTTCACCCACTTATGCCTAGATTTTTGTCTCCAACTAACTTCTTCTTTATACGGTATGTCCTCTAATTGCTTCCTCAGCACCCATCTCTCTTATTTATCCTTATCACCAAATGTGCCTTCATTTTCCTTTGCATCCAACTCCTCAATTTGATTTATCACATCCTGTTTCCTTTCCTCAATTCTACCAAAGTGGAGGATATTCCATTCCTTGAACTTTGCTTTCAGATCCTTCAATTTCCAATGAAATTTCATACCCTCCCAATTGGCCCTTGGGGCACTACCATTCCACCAATTCTTAACTAGCTCCATAAAACCCGGGTGGGACAACCACATATTCGCAAACCTAAATGGTGATGGCCCTCTATTGACAAGATTCTCCCTCATTAAAATAATAAGCCAATGATCTGAGATTACCCTAGGCAAGGTTCTAGAGTTAACCACCCCCCAATGTCCCTCCTAATCTGCTGTGAATAAGAATCTATCCAATTTCGAACAGATAGGATTTGCTTGTAGGTTGGACCAAGTGAATGTCCCATGCATCAGTAGAACCTCCTTTAGTTCAAAACAATTAATGAAACTATTAAACCTCCTCATACTTGTATTTCCCCCACCCCTAACACTGTTCATCTCCTCTAAAAATCTTATGACATTGAAGTCCCCACCTAAGCACCATGGTCCTTCCCAAAGTCCTTTGATGTCTTCCAATTCCTCCCACAACTCCTCTCTTTCTCTATATCTAGTTGGGCCATATGTATTGGTCATCACCCATTCAAACCCATATGCCCTTTGTCTAAACTTGAGGGACATAGTAAACCTCCCAAACAACTCTTCCATCCCTTCTAAAATTTCTTCTTTCCACATTGTCACTCTTCCCCCTGAGCTTCCCCAAGTTGGGCTCATTGCTCAATTTATTCCCCATGCCTTCCATAGTGATCTTGCCCATCTACCATCAATTTCGACTCCTAAATCAGCACTATATCCGGGTCTTCTCTGCTTATCACTTCCTTTATTAATGGCCTTTTCCTTCTACCCCCCAACCCCCTAACATTCCAGCTTAAAATTTTCATTCCACTTATTTTCCCTCTTTCTTCTACCCCTTTAGTTTCTCCCTCTCCTTCTCCCCTTTCTCTCACTGAACTCCTTATCTTCCTCAACATCTCTTCTTAGTCTCTTAGCCTCACTCAATTTCCTCTTTTTAGCTTTGCCATCCTCCTTTCCTTTCCTTAGGAAGACCTTCAAGTCATCTGGCTTCTTCACTTTATAGCCTAATTGCTCTACCAAGTCTGCAACTGACCCATTCTATTCATTTCCTTTGGCAACCACCTTCTCTATTAACTCATCACTTTTCTTTTCCTCTACTTTATCTCCATCTCTACTTCCCTATGAGTTTCCACCCCCTAGACTTCTACCACTATTATTTTTTTGAGCTTCTTCTCTTTTCAGTTCGTCCAAGAGACTTCTAGATCCTTTCCCCCTCTTCCTCCTCTCCCTCTACACATCTCCTTCTCTCCATACTTTCCACCCCAAGGTTTTCTTGAGCTTGTGGCAACACGGCCAGATAGGAATCTGGAACACGGACTTCGAACAAAAGAATAGGATTAGTACTAAACATAACATTAACAGCCATACCTTGGTTTGACTCTAGGGCAGGATCAACAGAGGACCCAGGAGAACCTATCGCATTGACTACACTTTTTTTTTTTTGATAAATAACAATGAATTTTGTTAATAATTGAGAAAATCAAAATTACAAGGGAAGGAGCAAAAGAATCTTAACTCCCTACTACCTAATGTATACCCTAACCATGAAACAATTACAAAACAACCCAAAAGATAGAGTTTTTGTTCACCCCTTGCCTAGCTAGACCATCTGCCAATGCATTTGCACTTCTCTTTATCCATGTACAATGAATTTCAATGCCCTTAGTGAGCCACTTGAACTTCCTCTTTTCATTGTTGTATTTCCAGAGCATAGAACTGTCCTCTTTTAGCCAATTCACCACAATTTCAAAATCACCTTCTTTGATCAATTTTTTAATATGCATTTCCTTGACCCTTTGTATCCCTTCAAGAGCTCCTAGACAGCCCTCAAGGAATCTCCACCCCAACTGGACCAGAATACATAGCTAACAAATTCCCTTTTTCATCTCTTATCACTCCCCCTAGTCCAGAGGGCCCTGGACTGCCCATACTGCTGCCATCAAAATTCAGTTTGGTAAACCCATGAGGTGGAGGCACCTAGTAGGAACTTGAAGTCTTCTTAATTGAGACTGAATCTGCAATCTCCTTCCAATTTCTTATCATCTCATCAACTGAGAACACTATAAACAATTCCAAAGTTTTCAACCAATGTATCACCCTAATGTGGATAGTCTCTCTTGACAATATGGCCGGCCAAAAATAAGAGGAAGAGAAGAGAAGAGGAGAGGAGAAGAAGAGAAGAGAAGAGAGGAGGGAAGAAAGAAGGGTTTTGCAATGTAATAGTGCTGGCGGCGCCAGCCTTTATTTTAATATATATAGGGCGGCAGAAATAACAAGGGAAAAGACCCTTGTGCCCCTGAGTACAATAACAGACATAACATAAAGAAAAACGAAATAAAAACACTTTAATTAGCCAAACAGGCCCTAACATCAGCAACTAAATTATTTTAACATTATTTTAACACTCCCCCTCAAGTTGGAGCATAGATGTCAATCATGCCCAACTTGTCACACAAATCTTTGTGCCGCACATGATGAAGACCTTTGGTGAAGATATCTGCAAGTTGTTCTTCTGAGCTGACATATGGTGTACATACTTCTCCACTTTCAAGTTTCTCTCT